CATTTGTTTCTTGAACTTCATCAAGTTATATTTCTCCACTATAATTTCTTCGAAAAGAAATTCCCTTTCCAAAAAGATTGCTCCTCTAGCCACAAACACTTTATAGTCAGAAGGGTGATAAAAATAATATCCCATTGTTTCTTTGGGATACCCAATGAACCTACACTTATCAGATCTTGAGTTAAGTTTATCAAATTGAAGTCTCTTAACATAAGATGGATAACCCCAAACTTTAATATGCTTAAGATTATGCTTACGTCCTTTCCATATCTTATAAGGTGTTGTAGAGACTGACTTAGTGAGAACTTTATTAAGTAAGTATGTTGCTGCTTCCAAAGCATATCCCCATAAATTTATTGGAAGATTAGTGAACCCTATCATAGATCTCACCATATCTAATAAGGTTCGATTTCTCCTTTCAGACACACCATTATGTTGTGGTGTTCCTGGAGGTGTCCACTGTGAGAGAATTCCATTCTCTTTGAGATACCTAGTAAAATTTTCACTAAGATATTCTTCACCTCTATCAGACCTTAGTACTTTAATACTTTTACCAGTCTGTTTCTCAACTTCACTACGAAACCTTTTAAACATTTCAAAAGATTCAGATTTGTGTTTCATAAGATATACAAATCCATATCTTGACATATCATCAGTGAAGGTGATGAAGTAAGAATATCCACCTCTAGCTTGAATTTTTATGGGCCCACAAACATCTGTATGAGTTAGTCCCAATAATTCAGTAGCTCTTTCTCCACTTCCAGTAAATGGAGATTTGGTCATTTTTCCTTTGAGACAAGATTCACAAGTTAGATATGATTCAAAATCATACTTGTCAAGGTACCCTTCCTTGTACAACTTGTTAATTCTTTTCTCTCCAATATGACCAAGTCTACAATGCCAAAGATATGTATGATTTACTTGATCATTCCTTTTCCTCTTAAGACTTGAAACATGCATAATCGAATTAGCATTCACATTAGGTAAGACATAAACATCATGTTGGAGATAGCCATTCACATATAAATTATCACCATAATAAATAGAGCAAATACCATTGCTTATGATAATGCGAAAACCACGTTTGTCTAACATAGAAGCTGAAACTATGTTCGAAACAAACTTAGGAACGTAATAACAATCATCCAACATAAGTACTTTGCCCGTAGGCATTATTAAAGAAATTGATCCTACAGCTACGGCCGCAACTTTTGCACCATTTTCAACTTGTAGATTAATTTCTCCTTTCTTCAACCTTCTACTTATTTGAAACCCCTGCAACATATTACAGATGTTATAACCACTGCCAGTATCTAATACCCACAATGAAGCATCAGTAGTAGTTAAAGAAACTTTGAAAATATTTTTCATTTGAGTCTTACCTTGTTTCTTGTCATTTAGAGTTGCAAGATACTCATGACAATTTCTCTTACAATGTCCTATCTTCTTACAATGGTGCATGAGAATAATTCTCAAATTTCTGTACCAATCATCAAAGTTTGATCCTACCAACTTGTTGGCCTCAAGTATTCCACGCAGTGATATAACATATATATTGAGAAATCTAAAATATGGAAAAGAAAAGGCAATAATATAAGAACATATTTACATATATATCATAAAGATATGAACTTTTATCTAAATGATATTTTCACTAATTATTTTAAACTATTTACCCTCAATATAGTTTAAGAAATCTCTATTTCTTTTAGTGGAGTAAAGGAATCCTTTAACAATATGTATGAGCCCTTTGGAAGTCAAGTCGTTTCTCACATATATTTTAAAGGTAGGTACTTTTACCAATTATATCCCCATACAATATTCTTAAATAGCTCTATGTCAAATAGTCCCCTAGTAGTCAGGTCGATCTTATTGGCATAGTTGAGTTCAACCATCATGAAATCAAAGAACTTATTAAATTTTATACTCCCCCGGGTAGTCCAGGCGTCTAGTGTAAAATTAAATAATTCTTTCAATCCATATATCTAATGCAATAAATAATTTTAACATATTCTCGAACTATAAGTCTCCTGGTTGTTAGGCCGTTCCTTATAAACAAGAAATAAATAAAATTATTTAATTTGTTGGATAGTTTTATAATAAAATATCTTATATTTTAATATTTAAGAACTCAAATTTTAGTAAGAGAGAATTGTTACTAAAATAATTTTTAATAACATAAAGATCAAATCTTTTATAGAATGTGAATTTAGTTCAAGTTGTCTACATGCTTAGTCCTAAATTAATTTACATCACATGTAATAAATAATTCAAAATTATGTAATGAACAAGCACGTGACATAAAAATAAAATTCAATATCTTCTAACATGTTTATCTTATATGTCACATAAAATAATTCATTCTAGAACATTATTATTAATTTATATCTCATAAACTAATAACAATTAAAATAATTGTATAATCCAATAACCTATTATAGATTATCGCCGTATCTTGTACGAAATTTTAAATTCAAGTTACGAACTATCTCAATAGTATATGAATACATATTTTATTCACAATAAAATAATATCAATTCATATGCATTCAAACAATTTGACTATTGCACAAGACACATGTATTATGGTTTGAACTCTTCAAATATAATCTTAAAATATTTCGTAAATAAATTTTAGACACAATAAACCACGGCTCTGATACCACTGTAGGATTGCATAGAAGTGTTCATAACACGCAGCGGAAGACAATAACAATCCTAGACAGATCTTTTCGTGTTTAAAATTTATTTTGCATGTCAAAGATCGGATCTAAGACGTACCTGGTGAAGAGAGTCTCGTTTTAAATTTCTTTGATAGTGCGAATACTCTATGCGTATCCACACCGAGACTGATCCTTGCTATTAACTCTTTGATCAATGAAATCCCGCGAACAAATTGAATAAAAATATTGTGTTGAAATTTTTCTCAAAGATAGAAGAACAAAAAATAATTTTCTTGTACTAATATTTTCTATCTTGGCTTTGTATTGCACTATTACTTTCACAAAGCAATTTTCTTCTCAAGAATAACTCTCTTGGTTTTTACAATATGTATAAGATCTATATCACCATAATTCTTAATTAGGACTCACACACATATATATATATATACATATAATTTCCATTGAAAAATACAAATCACATGCTTTATAGTAAATATTTATAAAACATGTAACTAATATATGGAATTCAATTCTAAATTGAATTCTACAACTTAGTCATACTTTTAAAATAAAAACATGTAACTCATTTATATAATTAAATTCTAAATTAAATTCTACAAATTAGTCAATATTTTAAAATAAAAATATGTAACTCATTTATGGAATTCAATTCTAAATTGAATTCTACAAATATTAATTATAATTACCAAGTGCTTATATGTATATCAACCAAGAGATGTAATTTAATTTTTTTATTTAAAATAAANTGCTTTATGGTAAATATTTAAAAAACATGTAACTAATTTATGGAATTCTATTCTAAATTGAATTCTACAACTTAGTCATACTTTTAGAATAAAAACATATAACTCATTTATATAATTAAATTCTAAATTGAATTCTACAAATTAGTCAATATTTTAAAATAAAAACATGTAACTCATTTATGGAATTCAATTCTAAATTGAATTCTACAAATATTAATTATAATTACCAAGTGCATATATGTATATCAACCAAGAGATGTTTTAATTTTCTTATTTAAAATCAACTTGTCCACAATATTAATTATATCCTCTGTGGTAGCAAAGAATATAATAATATTTCATTTGAACTAATAATTAAATTTATTTGACTAATTAAATTCTTTAATTTAATTATCAAATAATAAAGTAATTAATCCTTTAGCAAAGATCAGGACACTCGTTAGTGTGCGACCCCATAGGTTTAATATTAAACCGGTAGTAAATTGATCACATCAATATACTAATCAAGGGTGGCGTCCAGCAACACTCCTTAACGACCGGATAACATGACGTATAAAATTTACTCTCAAGAACCTGTAGAAGAATAATGTATTAATTCCTTCTGTCCTTATAGCTCTGGGTCACCCTAGGATATAGTTCAACTGTCAAATCCTAATAGGCGACCGACTATGTGTTCATGTCAAAAATAATCGACTATTGAATAACCTAAGAAACTCTTTTCTTCTTTCATTCAATCGCCCTGGCCAAGGTCTTAATTTGGTTGGTTATAATTTATGACAACATGGAGTTTAAACTCATTACCAAGAGTTGACAGATTCTATGTTGATCAATCACTAATTCTACAAGTATTTAATCGTACCCAATATCCTTTCAACTATCGCCCTAGGGCCATAGGTGTCTAGTATCAAAGCACAATAAATAACTTGTCAATTACTATGATGATATCAGGTCAAAGGAAACTCTTACATCACATTCTTCAAGAGAATATCCTATTGACAGTTTATGGTAATTCTAACCATTATGAATTATCCAATGAATCAGTTCAATGATCATATCTCTATATGCATCATCTATTTATGTTATTTAATTAATGAGATCAACTAATCTTTATCCCATAAAGACGATTACATAAATATTGATCTAACCGGATTACTAATGTCCAAATTAATAATCCTACGATCAAGAACAAAATTTAGATTAAATTGTAAGAGACTTTACTCTCATTATCATGATCTCCATCATGATGACAAGTTTCAAAATTTAATCAAGGACCTTATTAAATTAATCAAGCAATTAATAATAACTATGATAAACGAATATCATATGCCATATATTTTTATATCAAATAACATTCACAAAAATATGTTCAAATCATCAAATATGAGATTGGATCCAGGGCATATCTAATATATCCCTAACATTTCGAATAGTTGAGTGACCACTTTGAGTAATGGACTCAATTTAACTGCCGCTCAATTAATCCTCGAGATGATCATAGCACATTTTTGTAAAACGCTAAGCGGTAATTTATTACGGACTGTAGGGAAAAAGGGAAAATTTAGATCTTGAAATGCTATAGAAAGGATTCATATATTATACTATATCTTATAGACATAGAATTTCAACCACAGAATACTAATATTTTCTTCTCAATACTCACACCTGATACAGAAAATGATAACGTAATAAAATATCAATGTAGGCACGTATAATATTCGTGCATCTTCTCAATACACTTCAATTCAGTGGCATGTGATTGCTATTGAAGATGAACTTCATAAAGTAATCGAAACATCCACTGTTTCAGACTTATTATCATAGACCTGCACTTCCCTTGTGACATTGGCACCAGTTTTAGGATTATAAACTGTGACATAATAATCTCCATGAAAAACCTTAACCTCAAAAGCTCCTGCTTTGTCTGTAACTCCGTTTAAGTTTGTTGTCTTCCATTCAGCAAGTAGCTTGTCAACCACATCCCCTGATGGCGAATTCTGGAGTTTGCTATCTACTAGACACATTTCATGGCATCCATTTGGACTCCATCCTATCCATATCATCATCCCTTTAACACCAGGATGTGCAAATGCTTCCCTCATTATTTCTTCCAAAAAGTATGCCTGTAACCACACGCAATAATCTATTGTTAATTCCACTTATTATAGGCGGTAATCTGTAATTCTCTTTTAGATGACCTGCTAAAACATGAATCATCAGTAAAGCACCTATAGGTAAGGAATCATATATAATGAGTATTAAAACAATATTACTTAGAGGGGGGGATTGGAAATGTCAAGGCAAAACAGACACTTCCTAAAATACGAGGGAGGAAATGTCTCTTGTTCAGAGTTGAAGTGAGTATTTGATTTTTACGCAAAGTTAGAGGGGTAGAACGATATTCACTTGTTATGTATAGAAGTATTTTCCCCGGGTGTTGTGCATAGAAGTTAAACTCGAGTTAAATTTGCACAAGGGAGAAAAAGTAGGATGCTTAACATGAAATGCTGAAATGATATTAGTACCTGTTTTGGACAGGGCTCTACATTTAACTCGGTGAGCCAAATGGGCATTTTAGTTTCTCCTAAAACATCAAAGACTGCACGAATATATGGTATATTAGGATGAGGATCAAAGTGTCCTTGAAGTCCAATTCCAATAACCAACTCCTCATTCCCTGGAAATACCTTAATCTCCCGAAGCTTTTCAACGTATTTGGATGGAATAGAGACCATATCTGCAGGGTGCTCTAAAGTGTTAAACTCATTCAAGAACATAGTGGCTTTAGTGTCTAGTGAGCTTGCAATCTTGTAAAAGATGGCTGAAGCATTTTTCCCAAGCTTTTCCTCAAAAAGTGGGTGGTGTAAATTCTCATTTACAACATCCCAAGCAACCAGTTTACCTGCACAGGCCGATGGAGCTTCTTAGCTATGTGTTCAACTGAACTTAATACTAAAACCACTAAAATTTTATATTTTGAATCTATAATTTCAAAGGACAATTAGTTTTGTTAAGAACTATAAAAATTGAATAATCAAGTTTAAATTCTGAATCTGCCAATGTTTACCCGCATATCTTGACATAACACTACCCATTCGTCGTACAGATTCACTTAAAAGTTGTCTTGGTGGTAAGTCTCGTACCCAACGTTGGGTAGCTGCTCCCCATAGGATGTTATGTCCTCTTACATCAATCCCATGATCAATAAAGAACTTGAGCATTGCATCTGGGGTTGTGTAATTTTCATGGCCTTGTAACCTTTCGGTATAGTACCATTTCATCTCGTTGTCGAAAACTGTTGTTGTAAACCTGGACACGAACCATTCTTGATAGGATTTGGACATTAAAATGGAAGATGGTGTTGCGCAGCCAATAACAAATTGAAGTTTTTTCTGTTGAATCTTGATTTTTGCTCCTTGAATCTTCTTGCCATTCTTGTTTGCTACATTTACTCTCAATGTTCTTTTCCGAACCTATCACACAAAGAAATTAGGTAAATAAGAGGAAAGAAGAAAAGAATGACAGTTTTCTTTTGAAGTGAAGTAGATCTTTAGGTTAGAAACAACCTTCTCTATGTTGTTCAACCGATTTTCCTGCCACTCATGTTTGCTGAATTCCTTCAGAGAAACACTGTCAACCCTTAACTCGGACTTGGTGTTGTTGCACTGTACAAGATGAAATACATGACCAATGATTCATTGTCTATTAGTAAAAGATACCATATTCACAACATGGTCACTAAACTTTATAATCATACCTGAAAATGGAGTACCGAAGGTGCATTTTGATCAACAGTAAGACCACCTTTGATCATAGACCAACATCCAGATTTAGCTATTACTGATCCAGCAACATGAACAGTATTTTCGACTGAGTTGTAAATCATGGCAACCACAATATCCGATCCTTCACTTAATTGAACCCAAGCTGCAAAATAACATTATTTTTTTAACTTGATGGAACCCATGTTTCAAAAGCAAATATATAAGAATAAAAAAATTTCTTTTATGTCTATAATATTTTTTACCTGAAAACGTGTAAAATACCCCTTCCTTCAAGTTAAAAGATTGTGAAATACTAAAGGGCGTTGTTCTATTATAAGCCACAATAAATTTGTTTCCACCAGATTCCCTTGCTTCAATTTTTACATGACCATCTACTTTCCATGCTTCTACGCCCTTGTCAAAACTAGGATTTGCAATTAAACCACCTTCATATTGAGGACCCAATGGTTGGTTGAGGCACTGAAATTAACAATTCCAAAACAAGGCTTGCATAAGACATTTAATTGTATGTGAGATCGAAAAGTTTAACTTTTATATACACAATGTAAAACAATATAAAATTATACGAATATATAGGGACCATTTGTATATATACCTCTATTGTTGCTGAATAGTCGTAAGGTGTAGCACCATGAACCAAATATCCTAGAGAATTGAAATTGTTGTTAATTACTTCATATAAGATATGGAAAATACCTGCAAGTAATTGCCAATTTGACTCAAGAACAAGAAATTTAACATCTTTTCTATATCATCATGAGTTCAGGTTAAAATAAAATGCAAAAGTTTTAAGACTTTTGAAAACTTTGAAATGATGGTTACTTTTAGGATCAACTTAGGGGCGGCTCAATGAAATTGGAGGCTTAAAGTCAAAATTTAAGAAAATGTGATGAAATAGTATTAGTAATGAGACAATGGTTGGACAAATAGACACGATTAATTTAGATAACCAAGAAAAATCGCATGATCTTAACAAATTTTCTTAAGTTTTCTTTTAAGTATTCCACAGTATAACATTGTCTTATAATATTCTCAAATTTTGAGCTAAATTATTCAAATATTCATATCTACTAATAAAATATTTGATAACTAGAACCAATATAGTGTATTGAAATAAAATATTAATATTTTGTTAACTTAAAAACATTAACAATATAAATAATTATAATTAATAGAAAAAGTTTTGGGGGGCCTTTTAACACTTGGGGGCCTAAAGCAGAAGATTTAGTGGCCTTATCCTAGAGCTACCCATGGATCAACTAATTCTAAAACTTGTTTATATAATGGCAAATTAATAATAAGCTTATTGAGTACTGACCTGCCAAAAACAAGGAGAAGCAGAGAAGAAATCCATTATTTCCAAGTGTAGCCATGTAACACTTTCTGCCTTGTCCCATGTTGGAAGAGCTGCTTTTAAAAAAAACAAAAGAGTAGCATAAAAATAGATGTAAACAAGCCTTGGCTAAATGAGCCAAAGGAGAAGCAAATGAATATACATATACAAAAATTCACAAGAAACTATTTAAACAAAGGCTTAGATAACTTACTGACGTAGACAAAGGAGTTTGGTTTTTTGTTTTCAATTCTTCTTTGCACTCTTCTCTTTTATATGAACCACATCATAATACATACATACCACTGTCACAAAATGTACATTCACAATACCACCATGATTGAAATATGAGGGAGTTGAGCTTTAAAAGCTAGGTGAGTATGAAAATTCCTCATTTGACTGAGCAATTCTGAAAATTACTCATTTAATACGAGAATCAGAATTTGCATTGATACAAAGTTAAACGTGAAAGAAAAAAATTCATAGTGCGATGTTATTTCTTGGAACAAATCCATAGCTAAATTTAGCATGACATCAATGGTGAATTTAATTGGGATAAGAATTGAATAAATGAAATTTAGAAATGCATTTATTTTTTTAAATGACCACATGCATTAGTGCTTACCCGTTAGGGGTATTTAGTGGGACCAAACAAATGCATTAATTTTTTAAAACGGCAAAGGGCCAAATATATCATTATACTATGAGAATATATTTAAATATACCCTTTGTTATACTTTGAGTCCAAATATACCTCTGCAAATACTATTGATTTAAATATACCCTTCTTCTATTAAATTTGTCCCAGGTGGACATCCAATCCTACTTGGCACTGATATTTGATGAGATGAATATCATATGGCATGCCACCTCAAAGCCCCTAATCCATATATAATAGACTAAAATTTAAAATACAATATTTTTCATGGTAGCGGTAATGGTGAAAATAGTGGTGGAGGAGAAGTAAATTCTAGTGGTGGAAAAAAAATAGAAGGAAGGGTAAAATGGTTTAGGGGCGCTGAAGTGGCAAGCCATATGGCATTCATCTCATCCAATGTCACTGTCACGTAGGATTGGATGTCCACTTTGGACAAACTTAACGGAACAGGGGTATATTTGAACCAATAGTATAACGATAAGGGTATATTTTGACTCAAAGTATAACAAAGGGTATATTTAAACCTTTTCTGATAGTACAAGAGTATATTTGACCATTTTTAGTTTTTAAAATGAATATGTTGATTGTCGGTTATATATGGTTAAACGTGATACAACTTTATTTGTGAGTAGTTACTACTCGAAGCAAATTCCAATTCAAAATTTTAGGATGTCAATATTTAATTTAGTTGGAATAATTTAATGACTAAAAGTAAATAAAATTGTTACTCCCTCAGTTTTCATTTAGTCGTCAGGATAAACTTTTATACGTCCATTAAAAATATTAAAAATAGAGTGATTTGACTAATCTATAAATCCCTAATTAATTCTTTAATCTTTATTTATTTACGTGCCTCTTATTTTTCTAGAATAACTAATGTTAACAGTAAAGTTAAAAAAAATAATTATTTCTCTCTTGATGTTTTAAAATAATACGTATTTGGGAATAACTAACTTTAGTATACAGGACAACTAAATGGGAATCGAAACATGATAACTAGATGGGACGAAGGAGCAATTAACTACAATCAATAATTTTCCACTTAAGTAAATTTAATGGGAGAAAAAGAAAAGAAAATTCTTCCAGATTACCGCCGTTTCAATTGATGGCAAAAGGAATGCTTTTAAAATTTAAATGATAACTGTATCGGAGGGTGACAGATAGGTAAGATGGGAGATGAAACAACTCCCAATTTGGAAACCAAAACCCAAATTAATGCAATTTATATTTAAATTTTCTATAACAATGAATGATCAAGAATACAGAACCTCCCTTATCATAAACACTCCCCTTTCCTAAAAAGAAATTAAAATGAAAGTGTGTGAAGGTAATTCTTTTTAAGGGCCAGGTGAAGGTATTCTTGTTCATCCTCTCTTAAAAAATAATAGGTTCAATTATATGAATTAAGTAATAAATAGTAGTAATAATTAAATACCTAATTTTTATATAAAAAGTACTACTATGAAGTACTCTATATAAATTCAATTAACCGACCAATCATTTGGCTACATTTCAATCTAAACTTAGCGATACAATATCTACATTACAAAATTATTTATTATTCATAATACTAAAGAGGTTATAATTTAATGCATAATTACTAATTATATATATATATATATATATATATATAAGTATCCCTTAATCATAGGAGAGCTTCAACTGTGTGTAAAATTAAGTTCTTGAAGAAGAAATCAGCAACAATTCTAACAAAAGAGCACTAGCCCGCTGCATAGTGCAGGAGATCAACTTCAGAGTGTTTGATAAAGTGCACTTTGTTTACCCGAAAAATGGATAGAGTTGAATTTATACGTAATTCTAAGAGTACATGGTATAACTTTGCACAAATCAGAAAAGTAAGTAGAAATATATCGAATATTAACTTGTAAAGAATGAAATACGAACCAATATTGAATTAGAAAGCGATTTTATGAACTAGCAAGATGAATCAATGTATAAATCTCACAAGATGATAACCTCTACTGTATTTCTCTGTCAATAGTAACATCTGAATATAAGAGTGTATGTATGCCTTAATCTCCTTTACAGAAATAATAACTATCTCTCTTATAGTGAAGGGATCCTACTTTAGATATAATTAAAAATACATAGTGGGGACCCTATGGTAGATTATCTTTTTCATAATTCTCGCCGAGATTCTCTCCTTTAGTGCGGCTGTAACGGCTCTTGTCTCTTAGCTCGATCTTTGATCGGACTTGGTATTGTTCGATTTCCAGGTTTAGAGCTCGATATTGGCTCGAACTCAGTATTGGCTCGGGGCCCGGTATTGACTTTGGCTCAATATTGGTCGGTCTCTGGCTTTTAAGCTCGATAACACCGCCTCACATCATAGTTCGATTTGGAATCGAGCTCGGTATTGACTTCGAGCTCGGTACTTAATTGGTCCCCGAAACTTGAGCTTGGTAACCTGACTTTGGATCTCATACCCGATATTATGAAGATGACCTTCGATCCATTATGTTCCAATCTTGACTAATCATACGAAGGTCGAAACCGGTTTTGACCGTATACAGATAGTCCCCTCGTTTCTCGATAAGAATGTGGCGAGAAACGACATGATTTTCAAGTGGTATGACTCGATATATAATGACGTTTGCATCGAGCCCGACCATGACGTACGTGATAGTTGTCCAGTCGGTCCAGTTACCAAGGCATTAAATGTGTGTCAGAAGATGGTCGGGCGCTGCTAATATTGAACCGTCATTATCAATTCTATAAATAGCTCCTCTCCTCACCATTTTTTACTTTCAGATCCCCAATCACCAAATCTACTAAGTTCTTATTGTAACTTCTGAGTTCTCCATCTGTAAATTTGTGATTTTCACCGTAAAATCCCTCTTTAGAACATCAAATCTTGTTATCTTCCTCTATCTTCAATCTTCAAATCCTAACGGCGAAAACGTCAAAAATCGTTCCTCAAAAAGAACAAGCTTCTTCTTCGCGGTCCGCTGGCGACAAAACACCGGTGGAGCCACGACCTGAGGAGTGTGTTCCCGGGGGGTGTGTCCTTACCTCCGATTTTAAGATCGACAAAGTTTCATCGATTTTCGATCGATGCAAGCCAGTATCGAGGTATATGTGCTCGATAACCGAGAGTCATCTTAAACAGTTGAGGAAAGATTGCAATTGGGAGGACAAAGAAGTGACAATCCCGACCCCCGAAGAAGATTTTGTTTCGTTCATGCCTTATGAAAGTTTTCATAAGTTCGAGGCCTTAGGCAATTTGATCAAAATCGGACCTTGTAGTCTTTATAACTGAATGAGCGTTTTCTCGAATTTGAATTAAAAATAGCCTTTAGGCTTAATAGTTGAGTATGTTTTCTCGAACTCGAAGCAAGAGTAGCCCTTAGGTTTTACTAATCGAGTGAGTGATTGCTCGAACTCGAAGTAATGTAGCTCGTAGGCTTAGTAGTCGAGTGCTTGCTCGAACTCGAAGTAATGTAACCTGTAGGCTTAGTAGTCGAGTGAGTGTTTTGCTCGAACTCGAAGTAAGAGTAGCCTTTAGGCTTTAATAATCGATTGAGTGATTGTTCGAACTTGAAGTAATGTAGCCCGTAGGCTTAGTAGTCGAGTGAGTGAGTGCTCGAACTCGAAGTAATGTAGCCCGTAGGCTTAGTAGTAGAGTGATTGTTTTGCTCGAACTCAAAGTAATGTAGCTCGTAGGCTTAGTAGTCGAGTGCTTGCTCGAACTCGAAGTAATGTAGCCCGTAGGCTTAGTAGTAGAGTGATTGTTTTGCTCGAACTCAAAGTAATGTAGCTCGTAGGCTTAGTAGTCGAGTGAGTGTTTTTCTCCAATTCGTAGTAATATAGCCCGTAGGCTTAGTAGTTGAGTGAGTGTTTTGCTCGAACTCGAAGTAAGAGTAGCCCATAGGCTTAGTAGTCGAGTGAGTGCTTGCTCGAACTCTAAGTAATGTAGCCCGTAGGCTTAGTAGTCGAGTGAGTGATTGCTCAAACTCGAAGTAAGAGTAGCCTGTAGGCTTAGTCGAGTGAGTGATTGCTCGAACTCGAAATAATGTAGCCCGTAGGCTTAGTAGTCGAGTGAGTGATTGCTCGAACTCGAAATAAGATTAACCCTTAGGCTTGTTTGCATAATAGATCTCAAAATAGAGGAATTTTTCTGGGATACAAGATATCGGTAAAGAAGAAATTTTTCTTTGCAAGTCTTTATACATGTGTTCATGTTTTGTGCCAGGGCTCGGGCCAACTACATGGGCATGGCTCGTTTTACCATTTGGCTCTTACAATTTTTTCCGTCGAGACCCTGTTGTCATGAAGTAACGAAGTAACATCCTTTGCACCGAACTTGATAATCATCGTTGATATATTCGATGACAATGTCCCCCCCCTTCCCCCCCAATATTCGAGGTTGATTTGTAAGGAGGTCTCGGATACTGCTGAATTGTTCCAAGTTAGCACGATCAATGGTTGCCTCATTAAAAAACCTTACCGAAAAAACCCATTTGGGACAAAAACCGGTCTAAGGAAAAAAGAGTGCAATGCGTGCTTTCTGGCCTAAAAGCTTCAAGTTGAATAATCCATCCGTCTTTGGTCGAACACCTGCAAGGGTTAGTTTCGAAATATAATTGAATAGGGGAGGGTCGTTCCTTAGCAGTAATATTGTTTTAGGTGTGACACGTTCCAATTGCTTGGTAGTTGATCGTCGTTTATCATACCGAGCTGGTAGGATTTCTGCTATACGGCCGGTATTGGTCCCTAATCGACCTTTATTCTCGGTTGGTATCCCTTTTAATAACGGACCCAGAACCTAACTGGACGTCTTCAACTCTGATTTTCGATTGATATCGATTGTGTTCATCGGCCCAAGTAATAGCCGGGTACTTGATCAAATTCTGCTTTAACTGTCGTAAAGCCATCGAGCTCCGCTCGTTCAGTCCTTGAGTGAAAGCTTGTACAGCCCAATCATTAGTGACCGGTGGTAGATCCATTTGTTCCATTTGGAAACGAGATACGAACTCTCTTAGCATCTCGTTGTCCTTCTGTCTTACCTTGAAAAGGTCCGACTTCCTGGTCTCGACCTTTATGGCCCCAGCATGTACTTTTACGAAAGAATCTGCAAGCATAGCAAAAGAATCGATAGAGTTAGATGGTAAATTATGATACCATATCATTGCTCCCTTTGACAAGGTTTCACCGGATTTTTTCAATGATACAGATTCGATCTCATTGTCCTCTAGATCGTTCCCTTTGATGGCATATGTGTAAGAGGTGGCATGTTCGTTGGGATCGGTCGTTCCATTATATTTAGGAATCTCGGGCATGCGAAACTTCTTTGGGATCGGTTTAGGAGCCGTGCTCGGGGGGAAAGGCTTTTGTATGCATTTTTTGGAATCTAAGCGCTTCAATATTGGTGGTGCCCCCGGGATCTGATCAACCCTGGAGTTATATGTTTTCACTTTTTTATCGTTTGCCTCGATCCTCCTTTCTCCTGACTCTATTCGTTTTGTCAGTTCTTCGAGCATCTTAATAATTTCAGGATTAGTCCCCGATTCTTGCTCATTTGACCTTACTATAACTGGCCCCGTTTTGTGGGTGACTTGTTGGGGTGGACTGGGCTCGAGCCTGGTCGGTGCCTGGGTTTGTCTCTGCAACTGGGCTATTGCTACTTGTTAAACTTGCAACATTTCGAAGATCACATGCAAGCTGATTCCGTTTTCCTTAGCGTTTTGGGTATTTCGAGTTGCAGACCGAATTCCACCATGAATGCTATTTTCAGGGTCGGAACGTTGGTTCGCCTTGATGGCCATATGTGAATTAACGTCTATTGGTTCTTCGACCCGGGCTCCAACGGGATCGACGAGTGGCCTTCCACCCCGGGGGTTAAGTTGTTCTCATCTTGAAGGCCAGCTTCGTTGCCGATAGGTAGGGCCATTAATTGAGAATTCATTATTTTCAACCTGAAATCAAAGATATTTCCTAGAGCAAGTGTAAAATGGTGTGTTTTGCAGAGATTCATACCAAATAACCACTGTTATCCTTAGCTCCACGATGGGCGCCAAACTGTTTACTCGAAAAACGGATAGAGTTGAATTTATATGTAGTTCTAAGGGTACGTGGTATAACTTAGCACAAATCAGAAAAGTAAGTAGAAATATATCGAATATTGACTTGTAAAGAATGAAATACGAACCAATATTGAATTAGAAAGCGATTTTATGAACTAGCAAGATGAATCAATGTATAAAGCTCACAAGAGGATAATCTCTACTGTATTTCCCTGTCAATAGTAACATCTGAATATAAGAGTGTATGTATGCCTTAATCTCCTTTACAGAAATAATAACTATCTCTCTTATAGTGAAGGGATCCTACTTTAGATATAATTAAAAATACATAGTGGGGACCCTATAGTAGATTATCTTTTTCATAATTCCCGCCGAGATTCTCTTCTTTAGTGCGGCTGTAACGGCTCTTGTCTCTTGGCTCGATCTTGATCGGACTTGGTATTGGTCGATTTCCAGGTTTAAAGCTCGATATTGGCTCGGGGCCCGGTATTGACTTTGACTCGGTATTGGTCGGTCTCTGGCTTTTAAGTTCGATAACACCGCCTCACATCATAGTTCGATTTAGAATCGAGCTCGGTATTGACTTCGAGCTCGGTACTTAATTGGTCTCCAAAACTTGAGCTTGGTAACCTGGTTTCGGATCTCATACCCGATATTATGAAGATGACCTTCGATCCATTATGTTCCAATCTTGACTAATCATACGAAGGTTGAAATCGGTCTTGACTGTATACACACTTATTAATATATATTGCAACAAGCAAAGTGGAGTTGTAGGAAGATTAATACTGTCGAGATGGAGATACAGCAATTAGCATTTCTGAATCTGTGACATGAATACAATGCCTTCCGCGGCGCTGCTGCTGCTGAATTGGGAAGTCCCATCAGTTTAATCTCATATTGAAAATTGAAGAGTAAGAAAAGGACACGATCACGTACAAAAACATATAAAGAAATATTGTATGTATTTTGTATGCAAATTGCATAGAAGTTGTATGATATTGTATGAAGCATGAGTATAAATCGAACTGAAAAATCGCACCAAACAGAAAAGTCAAATCAAATCGGTTAAAAATCCCGATTAAGTTTGGTTTAATTTGGTTTGGTATTGAGTAAAAAAATCCAAACCAAACCGACACATAAATATATAATTTTTATATATACTTTTAAGACTTTTTTTTTAGAATTTTCTTTAAAAAATATCTAGAAATATTTGTGATTCTCTTATGGGACGTAATAGTTGGTTAAATATGAAGTGCTCCCATTTTTATTAACTTTAAATAATGAGTTGTATGATCAATTTCTTATCAAGTGTTACTGGAATGCGTCAGTTTTTTTGTTCTTCTATATTCATATGTCAAGATCTATTAAATTCATATATCTTTTTGAATTTGAAGTAGTTTTTCAATAATGTAAAATTAAATAGAACATGCCATTATTTAGCTATCATATTGGTTTTTATGTTTAATTATTAAATTCGGTTAACCTTAAAAGTGAACATCAACAAAAAATTATTGCAGACAATTAAAAAAATAACTATCATGTGTTATCAAGAAATTCTCGCATAAGAATATTTTAATAGATCATATGTTTATCAATTGTTTTATTTTTTACTAAATATTTACTTAAATTTTTTTAAACAAAGTAAACCCTTCGGGATTGCCCAGTTGGTTTGGAGGGCGGTCATCCATACAGATGACCTGGGATCGATTCCCCCCTCAATGCCTTCTGGGTTGAGCCTGTCGCACAGGCTTGCCTAGTGTGGTTTACATCCCCTGTGAGGTTTGCAAGCTATTACACAGGGGAAAGTTTACCCAGTGCACACAAAGTGCTCACCCGAAGGGCAGAGGCTGTGGCAAAGGTTGTAGCGGCTGCGGGTTTTCCCTCTTACCAAAAAAATAAAATAAAAAATTAACAAAGTAAGATTGAAATAATATTCATGTAACTCGAAAACCCAAAAAATCCGATAAAACCGAATCAATCCAAACCGATATAGTTGGTTTGGTTTGATTTTAATAAAAAACGAACCAACTCGGTCCATGCACACCCCTGAGCATGACAAACAAATTGTAGCTGACCACACGTTGGAAGATTGAAATTATATGAAAGTTGTTATACTGACTTGTAAGAAAATTGTATGTTATTGTAATTGTATTAAATTTGTATGATTGTTGCATGAAAGTTATAAATAAATTATATATTGTTCCATATATTCTTTTTTGTTCGCTCGCTTCCACTTTTGTATGAAGATTGTATTATAATTGTATGTTGAGCTATATAAAAATTGTATTTCAGTTTTATGCTAATCAAAAATTGGTTTTGTATATTAATTTCGAATAATTGTTATTTTTATAGCAAATTCTATATTAAAAAAGAACTTTCGAAGCGCAGTATCCCATTTTACATTTTAAAGCTTTAATTTGTTACTTAATGGCAGTTGGCGTTTCGGAGGGGAAGAGAGGAGAGGATAGTGAAAGAAAAAAAGGGAGAAGGGTGTAACTACATCATTTAATTGAAGACGCTAATCCTTTTAAGTGTAGGCGCTTAACTGGATTCCTTAATTCAATGTATACAAATTATAAAAAAATTTAGTTAATTTTAATAATTAGCAAACTTTAGTTAAATCGTTGCAAAATAGTTTGTAATTTTGTATATATACGAAAATCCCTTTGAACATCTATTTTTAGCTCCCGTTTGGCCATAAATTTTAGTAATTTATTTTAATTATTTTTGAAAATACTACATTTCCCAGATCCCACAGTATGAGATAATATTGGGTATGTTGTTGTTGTTGTTGTTTTGAAAACAATGTTTGTTTATGGAATATGATCAATTTTTGAAAGAAAAAAAATTCAAGTTACCAAAAACTAATCTAAGGCAGTTTTTGAGTGAAATTTTTTCTTCCAATCATAAAATTTTAATTTATTTTTAAATAAAATGTATGTCCAAATACAACTTCAAAAATTATTTTTTCAAGTTTCAACCAAATCTATGTCAAAACAGTCTATCCTTGACAACTGAGTAACACAAAAGAGTCCATGACCTGGATAAAATCCAATTCCCAAATCAGCTCTGTCGAAACCCTAGCTGACCGTTGTCCTTGCGGCTCGCAATCCTAAGATGTTGTAATCCTCGCCATTTATATCCCATCCGGGTTGGGTACATTCCTGGACCCAAATGTATTGCTCTTTCAGTTTCAGCTTCGGTTTCAATCTAGGTATTGCAATTTTGGGGGTAAATATATATATATATATATATTTTGTAGGAATCGAGAATGTGGAAAAATTCCCATTAATTATAATTTTAGAATTGTTTTATTGCAATTTTCTACATTGTATAGAGACAGGCACAAAACATTCTGTAATAGTAAACTTACATGGCTCCTTCTCTTCAGGAAACAATCATTTTCTTTCTTTTGTTTCATCTCAGTTTTGTATTATTAAACTTTCACATTTTTGTCTAAATAAAATGTATGTAGTTATTTAGTTACTTAATAGTGCTTATATTTGATGCACAGGGTGTAAAGCTGAAAAAGGAAAGGGAGACAATACAGTTTGTAATTTCAAAGAAGATAAAATGGACATGAAAAAGCAAATGTAGTTGTAAGCAATTGACTAGAAAACTAAATTTGTTTTAAGTTTTAGAGGTGATCACCAATGTCAATTTGAACAACTAGAATTAGATCTATAATCTCTTACCAAGACCACAACTTTTGCTTTAATGCAAGATGAGTCAGTTTTTTTTNAATAGTATTTTCCCTGTATGAGTCCTCAAACATTCCATGTGTTATTTCTCCTGAGTGGTGGTACTAAATATTAATACCAACAAAATTTATGCGTGGGTCGATGTATTATCTTGTGCGGGATAGAATATGGAAAAAGAATAATGTATTAGCGATACTTGGATAAGAGTATCTAGAAGCATAAATAATGCTTTTAAAGTAGGCAATCCCTGCATAACAATCAATGTAGTATTATTCACCTCATAACAATCTCGACATTGTCATTCACCGCATAAAAATCCTTTATCATGATCCCTGCATAAACTAGTATGTGAACCAAATGAACTCTCAATGTATGAATTGTGTATGCCTATCCTATTTCCTATACGAAGACCTTGAGGACATGCAACAAGTGGCAGTAAAGGTGACATGTTTCTTGGACGGATGTCTCTCTAACTCTTTTAAACCAAGTATTATCATATTTATATTAGGAATTATTCTTTTCATGAGAATTGCTATGTATGCCAAAAATGTGGTGGTCGGACTTTGTTATGGTCTTATCTATCTTTATCACAAACCAAGTGCAATGACTGCTTACGCTTTGAGGAGATATCGACATATCGCAGTGTCAACCAGGTTGCACTCTTTGCTTGTTCTCTTGTCTGAGCCTATTGTTTGTGATTTTTTTACCCTTCAGTGGTGGTATTATTTGCTATAGGGTGTAAATAGGTAATCTATTGATCTATTTTCTTGTGAATTTGTACTCCTGATGTTAAGCCAAATTTACGATAATGGTAGCTGGTAGTTTCCATTCATTACATTTGAAATCGTTAATGACCGTCAACTTAGCTTGTAGAGTCACATTAATTAGGCACTTGTATGATAGTTAAAAGTATATTAATTCAACCAAAATCAATCTAGGAGGCTGCTATAATCTGTCAATCTTAAACAAGAATAGAGAGAGTCACCTTTCTAGAGATCACACACTTTATATCGTGATTTTGGTGTCACAAGTAGTATTGGAAAGATGTAGTTTTAGATGTAGAAATAAATGGTAGTTTAATAATTCAGCAATGTACGTGCAGTTGTAAAGAAGGAAGATATGACCGTATCTGCATGCTACTTTGTCCCACATCGTCTCAAAAGCAAGAATTAATTCCTTCGTTATACCTATTTAGCGGTCTCTAATTATGAACTTCTACACATAGCTATTGGGCCCGCTTAAGTGCGGGCCCTTGATGGCTCACATCACCTTGTAGTAAGGTCCCTTCCAAGAGTTGCAGTATGCTGGAAATCTTGTCTGTGAGTTTGCTGGCACCTATGGATTCAGGTAATGTAACTTCTCCTTCAAGCCCTTCTTCCTTTAATTTGTTTTGTCCTTTTCAGATTTTTCTTTTCTCTGATTTTTGTGATTATTATTTATCTTTAACTTTATATTCTTGGTGTTTGCCTGTAAGTTTCCGTTCATTCTGTCTCTTTTCTTAACTATGGGCCTCATGTTTTTCCATTTTCTCTGTTATTCTTTTTTTTATGTTGAAATAAATTTGGAAAGAAAGATAAGTCTAAGCTTTAACACATATGAAGCTGCTTGTTCTTTTTTTCCATTCTTGTGCATCTATGTTGAAGTCTTCATTCTCTCTTTCTAGTCTGGCTTTTAAACCTCTGTTGAAAGCTTCATCTGAACAAGAACAGAAAAGGCATGCACTGACTAATTTTTCGGTTTTGTTAACCCAAATATTGGGAACTTTCACTCGTTTCCCTCTTAATCTGTGTTTCTCCTGAATGGTTTGGATAGAGAACGGGTTTTGAATGTATATGCTCCCGAATGGTGATTTGAAACGAGTGGACTCTTGCTTCATGTAATGAAAATCTTAGATAAGACCTCTAAGTTAATCAAATATATAGTTCTAAAATTTTCTTATGGGATGTTTAATGATAGTTGACATTTTTAAACACAAGCCATAGATAGCAAAAACCACATGCTTTATACTACTAAGTGACAACTGGGTGTCTGGCTTCTTATTTGCCAAATCATCTGTCTTTTCCTGTTATAAAGAAATTAAACTAGCTTTACCCCATATTAATAACATCTAAATTTTTCTATCCTTCAAAGATGAAGTGGTTCAGGGTGATTGGCTGAAATTCAGTTTGGTTAACTCTAATACCAAAAGAAACTCATCCTCCTGGATATGAGCAGTGATTCGTCATTATTTTTTTGATTTGTCATATCTGCTAACCTTAAGTGTCTGATGACTCTTAAATGTGGACTTTGGCGCATTTGTCCTTAGTTTCCTTCAGCATACTCATTCTGCCCTGGAATGGTATGGAAGTTGTTGCAGCAGCCTCTTCACAAAATTCTGTATGCACACTCCTTGATGACAATGCATGGTAATGTGTGACAATGTGTGGTTACAGTATTGGCAACCAACATGTCTCTGATTCGAAATAAAATTGTCTATAATTTTATTAATGAACTCGTTATACAACAAGTATACCAAAAAGTAGAGAATCCATACAATCTGGAATCTCGTGGATGCACTAAAAAGTTACATCTCTTCTTCCTTCTCCCCTATGCTTAGCTATCTTAACTCTCTTATTGTGCCTGGCATCGTTCACTGTACTCCGAACCAATTCAGTACTCTCACCACAGCTGTGTTTCCACTTTGCAATGTAACAGGAGGTAGCCCACATTCACAACTGAGCATTTGCACATGAAGCACCAGCTGACAGCTAACATATGTAATTCTGCGCTTTCTCATTTTCTCGGCTGTCAGCACTGCATCCGAGTTTCAAGCACCAATCTGATAAACACACCTTTCTTGGAGATTGAAACAAGACAAAAGTTGGCTACTGGCGCAGAATGAAGCAAACACCAAGCTGATAAACACACCTTTCTAAATGTAGAATGCTGCATTAGATTGTTAAGGTGTACGTTAAAAAATTGTTTGGGTCATTTTTTTTTTTTGGTAACTCATTTTCTTTTCTTGTTTGGAGATTGAAGCAAAGACAAAAATTGGCTAATGGCGCAGTATGCCTGCATGTTGTATACTTCTTTTGCTGATTTGGCATATCTGTTGAAGTTTTTCTTTTTGGTAAATATCTGTTGAAGTTTTCTTATGTATGGATACTGCAGGTGACTGTGATACGACTAGGAATAAAAAATACATAAAAAGATGATGAAGTTCAACCATAAATTTCCTCTATTTATAAGGGAAAAAGCTAGTTATGTCAAGTCTTGCGGGTTAATGAGCAAACGCCTGAGCTAATTTGCCCGTCAGTTTGCCATATTATCAAACCGATATACTCCATTTGACTGGGCAGGGAGTTTAAGAAAAGAGAGAAGACTTTTGAACTTGTGGTGTAAAATGAGGCACATATATTTTGTGTGGCTATAAATCATTGCATAAAGGTAAATTATTTCCAAATAAGGAAAGAGGTCATTCTTTTTGGCACAGACTTAAAAGGAAATAAGTTCAAATAAATTGAAACGGAGAGAGTAGATCCTTCGTATGTTTCTGTGATGTTAGCGTAGTAATACAAAATTTGAGGTTTTGGAACTGTTCTACTTTTATGGCTCAAATAATGAAAAGTTCATATTGATTGAAAATCTGACACAGGCGGGTATCCTACCTATAATTTTTCTAAAGGCCCGTTTGGAGTCAAAAAGTCCAATGATGCCTTTAGACTTTGATTTTACAAATAAACAACTTTGCCTTTCTTCCGAGCAAGTTGAGCTAGCTATAGGATTCCTCACTAATTAGTTTCTCTAGTATCAGAACTTTTCTATATCTTTTTTCCGACAAAAATCTATCAAGTTTACAAGTGGAAATGCAGCAAAATCAGACACCGCTAGGCAACCAGGATGTTCCTTCTTATTTTATGAGGGGAAATATATTATATATGACAAAAAATATGGAGGAATAATAGATTGCAGCAAGCACAGTGCTAAGTCTAATACAGTAAAAAATGGAATTTATTGAACTAAGGGCAGTTTGAATGTCCGGTGTCCCCATGACAATTGAACCGAGAAGACTGTGCAGGCTATTCGATGAGAACCACTGAGGCTATTGCCATGAACTTTGCAGCCTTTCTAATTTCCCTGTATAGAAAGGTCTGCTTGTAATTTACATTCGAAAGAGCCTAAGTTTGTAGAAATTTGCTTGTAGGACTCTCAGCCACAATGTGTGTTCGCGCCAGGTAGTTCCTGAGATCAGATGTAGCCACTAAATCAGGAAAAATAATTATCGCGTAAATCCTAGACTCATACTTCACTATGCTAAATAAGCAAGTGTAAGCTCTTGAAGATAACTGCGAAAAGCCTCACCTGATGAATTCTGACTCTGGAAGCAATGGTGAGTCAGAATATTGGTTTTGGAACATGATATCTAGCAACCATTTTAGCTGCTACAAAACCAGCAGCCAAAGCCACCCCAAATAGAGCATGGAGTCTCACACAGTAATACTTTGCCATAAAGATCTTTGCTTTGTCCTATAAAAATGAAGTTTAAAATCCATGACTCGAATGAACATTGATCGCCCAAAAGAGAGCAAAGTAGATAAAGTCAGAAGAGGATATACATTTGCACATTCTATTTTTCTTACACTACCCCAACAATGACCAAGGCGAGATTTTTGTGGAAGAACAAAACAAAATCTTCACTCACCTCATAGTTGTTCTCCACATAGCTAACGACCAGTTTTCCCACTGGAATTGTTAAAGCACAAAGAATCTGGAACAAGATGATACTGGATTACATAGTGGAACATATCTAAGTATTCAGAATTTTTAAGATTAAGAAAAAAACATTAAAATTGCCAACACAAAGTCCATAACAGGTCTCTTCATAATTTAGTAAAGACTTCTTTAGTGTGATTACAGGGTTCAGAAAATTGTTTCTGGCTAAAACCAAATGAACGAAGCTTCCCAAAACAAGTAAGTTGCAAATAAACAGAAAACAGTAATTATCGTAACGACATTAAGAAACCAAATAAAGACTTACAATGCATGTAAACGGAAGTGTTTGAGTCAAACCAAGAAGAAGCATCCCTGAATATAATGCTGCCACACCCACTTTTACAACTCTGGAACCAGCTTGAGTACCAAGCCTAACCTGAACTCAGAGGCAAGAATACAATTGACCACTAGTTCTTCCATTTCTGATTGAACTTGTATTGTCTCACCTAGGTGTACTTACCAGCGGAGAAAATTTTCCCACGGCCTTATCCCCTTCTACCTGAAGTTTGCATCAGATGAATGAGTTGCAAGTACTGGTAAACACCCTTGGTTAACAAATTCTTTCCAAAAAAGGTGGAGTCACGGAAGGTAAGGAGACTTTAATACCTGGTGGAAATGACTACAGAACAGGATAAGTGATGTTGTGAAACCAACAAGTACTGATGCCGAAAGAATTGTACAAGTGATTGGGAGCTCACTGAAATGCACAATAGACCAGATTCAGGCAGGCATAAACACCTTTATTCATTATTTTATGGGTAATAACACAAACCTGGTGCTGCTTTGAAGCAAGAAAAAGGCAGTAGTAGCGAAAGGACCAAATGCAGCAAAGCACAAGGGTTCCCCCAGTCCTTGGTAACTTAACCGAAATGGCGGGCACTACAAGACATTTTATTAGAAGCAACGGAATTCAGTTATAAACATAATAATACACACAGCACAACTGAGAGGCAAGAGAGTCAATTAACAAATAAAATGACTAATAGATCTCCCATATTTTTGAGTGGGGGTGGGGTGG